GTTAATTTACTCTGATTAATTATGTATTATTCCGTGGGGTTAGAAGGGTTTTACATTAGTGGTATCAGAACAGGTCGGTCCGTCCGGCCATGTTGTCTAATGTTATTTATTCCCTTGTATGCGACATGTGTTTGAAAACACTGTCGATACATGTTTGTTGTTTAACCTTTGTCTGTAGAAGTGGGAATGATCGAAGTGGGGGAGAAGCTTGTGATTCCTCAAAATGCTGCAAGCGTGGAGATGCAGCTTAGTGTGGTTGAATGCTCTTATAGTTTGGTAAAGATGGTTTATACCCCATCATTATTTTCGACTGTCTATCGGCAAATTGAGGAACTGGTCACCCTTAATCTCTTGTTGATAGTAGTTGGGATTGTGTTGGATGGGATAAATCTGTCTTGCAAGCTTAGATGGCGTGGTGCAGTGAATTGTTTTGAGTAAAGTCGAGCGCTTAAGAATTGTTTTGATGATTCGGCGCAGGACAGTGATGAGATGTTTGATTTTGATGGGAATTTTGAGTATTAATGAAAGTGGAGAAGTTGTCGGTTTACCGTTTGATTGTGGTAGTCTGAGAGTTATCCTGACAAGATAAGTGATAAACAGCCAAGACGTGAAGTTGAGTTGTGATCGACTTAGCTGCGGGGACTAATCAGATATTGGAAGCTCCATATTATATGTTTGTTTGAGTGGCCAAGGAATTAAGATTGATTAAGTTGTGTTGAGGCTTGTGTTTGGTGTGTATGCTACGGCAGCAAAGTGTGAGGTCGAGTATAATGGATAATGAATTTTGGTGATTATTAAGGAAAGTAAGATGCGGAATACAATATGGGTATAATTAGACCTTTGGAATTTCAAGAGTTAAAAATGCGTTTAGTGGCCTTCGGAGTGTGAAAATGTTGTTTTCGTCTTTTGACGCACCATTCGGAGCGTTGGACGCTATTTTAATGCTCTGTGTGATGGTGAAGTAGTGGCATGGAAATTAATTAATTTATTGATGGAATGTGTTTGAAAATTCGAAGAATATAGAGGATCATGTTGAGCATCGGGAACTTGTGTTATCAGTATTGGAGAAGAAGTAGTGATATGCCACTATGAAGAAGTTCAGAGAGTTTTTGGAAAGTTGTCAATAGCTCGTGTGTTGGTTTTGCCGAATCTGACGGAACTATTCGTTGTGTTTTAATACTTTGTTAATATGACTGAGAGATATGTTAAGTGCAACATCAACGAGTTTTGGCTATGCTTTGAAGCAACCTAACGTACATAAGGGAATTATCAGACAAGTGATTTAGAGTTGGTTGTTGTTATGTGTTTGTACCGGAGTTTGGAAGCCTCAATTGTTTAGTTGAGATTTGAGATGGTTAATGATCTTAATATCTTAAGGTATTTGTTTGATTTGAAAATTTGAATATGATGTAGAGGAAATAATTGGGACTTCTGAAAGAATATGGTTTTGGTTGAGTTACCGTTCGAGTGAGACCAAGTGGTAACTGAGCTATTGCATTGGAAATTTCTGTATGTACCGATGATGATGGTAATGAAGTTAGGACTGATTGAGTAAATTCGAAATATGAGTGTGGTCTGTGAAGAGACTTCTCATAGAGTTGAGCTTTATATTGCGAGACTGACTATTGGTATTCTCGATGAGATTCGAGGAGGTCAAAATTCTAATTCGAGTTAATAGATTGATTGAATTTAAGGGATAAAAGTCGAGGAGGTGATTTTCGGATTTATGGAAATGGTATCATGATATGTCGGGATGGAGTATGTGTTCTGAATAGTGTGAGTTGGATGAGAGTACACTGGAAGAAGGACATTGAGATAGATGGAGTATCCATGCAGGTACTGGGAAGGTGTGACCGAATTTGAGGAATTATTTTGATGACCACAGATGAAGAGAGAAGTGATTGAGTTTGTATATGCTGGATTAGACTTATTAGAATGTCGGAGAATAAACGTCAGAGACCGTTGGGTCAGATGCAACTGTTGAATATTCTTGAGTGGGATGGAATAGTATTTCCATGGATTTTATGCTGGGTTTTCCGAAGAATTTGAAGGGGTATGATTCGATTTGAGTGGTTATGGATAGATTGACAAGATTAACTTATTTCTTACCAATGAGGATTAATCATTCTATGTTGAAGCTAGCTGAGATGTGTATCGATGAAGTTGTGAAGTTGTGCGAAGTGCCGTCGAATGTTGTGTCAGATGGGAATCAAAGTTTTTCATTGGGACTTTGAGGGAGTTGCAGACGCTTTGAGCGACATGTTGAAGATAATCTATGTCTAGCATCCATGGACGAATGGGTAGACAAAGAGGACTATCTAATATGTAGAGAATTTGTTGAGAGCTTATGTGTTGGATCAAGATGGATCAGGAGATGGTTAATTATTGGTGATTGAGTTTACCTACAATAATTGCTATTATGCTAGTATTGGAATAGCATCGTATGAGACTTTGTTTGGTAAGAGGTGTAGGACTCCTTTGGATAGACGTGTGTCAAGCGAGAGTGTTGTACTCAGGCCGAAGATTGTGCAAGAGACGAATGAAAAGATCAAAAGGATCCAAGAAAGGACGTGTTTTGAGAGTTTTGATAGGGACTGGTGTTGGTCGAGCTTGGGGTCTCGAAAGTATATCCTGTGTTTTGTGGATCTGTATCAGAGTGGCGCAACGGAAGCGTGGGGAAAATAGCATGAAAGATTGTTTTACCGCTGTCACTTGTGGAGATTACATGATATGTTCATGTGTCTAAGCTAAGAAGGTACATTGATTCAGATGGATGGTGTGCAAGAGAGAGACGATTTGATTTCTGAGGCATTTTTAGTTCAGGTTGATGAACGAGAGGTAACTTCGAGGTAAAGGGATTCCTTTGATGGAGGTAGTTCGAGAGAGAGTTAGATTTGGGAGATTGGGATGCGAGGATCGTATCCAGAGTTATTTAAATCAAGTAACATATTCGAGGACAAAAATTCCTAAATTGGGGGAGGGTTGTAACAACCCAATTTTCAGTAATTAATTATTGGTACTAATTAATTGGTTTATTTGATTTAAAGGAATCATTGGATTTATTTAAATTATATGAGTTAATGGATTTAACTGATTTTATTATATTTGGTAGAATAATGTGGATTTATCAGATATTTTCTAATTAATGTCAAGATTAGATATTTTGTGAGAAAGGATTTGGTAGGTATTATGAGAAAAGAAATATGATAGAAAGAAAAATCCACTACAACAAAAATGACTTTTGGCAACAACTCAAAACCGCAACCTAAAGTGCAATAACCGTAGCCTAAGGCTTTAGGGGACGGTTTATCAGACGTGGAATAAACGGCCGTTGCCTATTCCTTTAGAGCGCGGTTTTTTTATTTTTAACCACGGATTCAAAACACCGTCGCCTAAATCATCAAATTCCACGGTTTTAGTTGTAGTTTTAGTCCGCGATTTTCTAGTAACAACACAAAATAACCGTCCCCAAAACATGAATATACAACGGTTATAAACAAGCAACAAATGAAAACCGTAGCTAGTTTATAATTTCTTTATAATTTCTTTTAAAGAACCGCGCCTAAAACTTAGGAAAAGTCAACGGTTTTTAATAAACTTAAAGTTAAAGTTAGGTAAATATTAACTTTAAACTTAAAGTTATAATTATTAAAAAAGTTCCTATTCATTTATATGATGATACATTTCAACCATAAACCTTCATTTTGTTCTAATATAGTATAAGTCAATATTATTTAATTAAATGAGAAGAAACACATGTATAAATTAATCAAAAATATGAAGTATTAATAAGATGATGTGTAATAAACACTTTGAAATGTTAGAACAAATATTTTAAAAATAAATCCAAACTCTTTGAAATATAATAAACTAATTAGGCGGTTTGTGTAACTCCATAAATTTCCTATTTTTTTTCATACGATAGTTACATCTTGTTGTGATAGCATGTCCCTGCAAAGGTTTTCTGTAAATTCATGTCTGAACATAATCCCATATAAAGAATAGCTTTAAATCAGTACATGTATTGGTGACTTGATAATACATGTGAAGTGTCAGCTGAGAGGTTCTTATTTGTGTTCTGGTTCTAAGCATCTTTCTTAGATTGTATCATGTCACAGTATCCATCTCTAGTGCCTGTCTTGTTTGTCCAAGAATGTTGAATACAGTCGCCGCAATTTTGTTGTTTCTAAATGACTTACAGCATATTGGCTCAAGTCAGATACTGATATATCTGCAAGAAAGTGATTGGCTTTGACAACACACTTTGTCCCAAGTTTTCCATAGCCAGGCCTAGAAGGAAAAACAAGAGTTTTGCAAGAGGAAGAAATACATAAAGCTAGCTGAGATTCAAGTCCAGTTTCTTGGTCTTTATCTTCTTCCTTCATTAGTATTGGCTAGATTAGACATCTCTGTAGAAAATAAACAAGAAAATTTCACTTGTTAGTTTCACGCAATGGTTGGTTCTTGAAAATAAAGAAAGAAAATAAAGGTACATGGCATCAAATCTTGACAGCATTTCATTTTATCTTCTACTAGGTGTTGTTTATTCTCTGAATCTTCTGAGATTGAGAAAAAAAAGTGACATGCAAATAACAAGAAACTAACAATATTCTATAAAAACTCTTATATGATATGATGTCTTCACTAAAGTGCAAATAACAAGAAAATAACAGTATATTTATGATATGATATGATGCCTTCACTACAACAAAAATGATTTATGATATGATATGAAGAGATACAATTCAAGCGAGCAAAGTGGTTAGAGTTCACAATGCGCGACAAATCTTTTGATTCTATTGGGCTCTTTCCAAAGCAGTTTTCCAATTCAGTCTTTAAAGCATCTACCTGAAAATGAAAAACACCAAACATTAGATCCACATAGACAAAGATTTACAACTCTTGATCACACGAAGAAACTTTCATACCAATTTCGGAGCAAACTCTTTTGTTGTTATAAGATAATCAGGAGAAATTCAGGCTTGTCCATTGTTACATCCCTATTTGCCAGAAATTATCCGTCTTGCAACAACCTTGTAAATTCAAATGCAGTTATAGTCAATAGAAAAACTCAAACTTAATCAATGCAAATGCGGCCTTAATCAATAGATAAACTCAAACTAATCAATGCAAGCACGGCCTGAGTCAATACCTCTAAATTGACATTTGAATCAACAACAGTTGGAGATTTTCCTCCGAGCTCCAGAACAACTGGTGTAAGGTGTTTTGCAGCTGCAGCCATCACTATCCGTCCCACTTTTCCATTTCCTGAAAAATTCAAGAATTACTTTAGCTAGTACCATTTTTTTGTTCAAAACTCGCAGCTATCCATGAAAAACAAATCGATAATAACACACAAGACAAACCTGTATAGAAAATTGTGTCCCACTTTTGTTGCAGCAATGCAGTAGTTTCATCCACTGCCCCTTCCACAACTCTTATAGAAGAGTTATCCAAGTACTCCCCTAACAATTTCGCTAGCAGTGAAGATGAAGCCAGAGCAATTTCTGATGGTTTTAAAACCAGAACATTACCCGCTGCTATAGCTCCGACGACTGGATCAAGGGACAACACTGGAAGAACAGACAAAGAGTAATACTAATATTATAATCTTCATAGATTATCATAAAAAAAAACAATAAGCTGAAAATATCAACTCTAAAACATTTGAATAAACAACTTAATTAAGTAATTGTAACATAACCGTTTATCATATAAATAATCTATAACTTGTTTGTATAATTACAGATAAATTCAAATGAGTCAATCCAATCAGGCTCGACTCAGAGTTAGTTACAAAACGGATAGTTCCATGGGGAGATGACTAACACAACACCAAGCGGTTTAGGTATGATTTCAGCCGAAGACGGAAAAGTTGTGATTGAAGTTTTAGCCTGAAATAATTAAAGAAACTTCATATAATAAATCAAATAAACTAACTAACTATATATATAAGCAATAAAAGAAACCTTTTCTGGTGTCATCCATTGTTTCAATTCTTTCAACATGAGTTCACATGAGTTTTTAAGCATAACAATCTACAAAACAATAGTTACTCAGTAATTGAGTGAAGATAACTTTCATGATTTGAATTAACTTAAGCATGAAGATAAATAACATTACCTCATAGAGGACGGTTTCCAGTGGCGGTTTAGCAAGGTCGTAACGAAGAGCATCAATGATTTGATCCTCTTGTTCTGCCATCATTTTCAAAAGAGCCTTCACCTGTGATATTCTCCATTCATAACTTCGCGTCTTACCGGAACTGAAACTCACCCTCAGTTTCTTCACCAGCGACGATGCGGCTTCTCCATCAAACACAATCTTCTGTGAGTGTGATTCCTCTCCCATTATTAATATTGTTTTTGTGTAAATAAAGAGAGAATCTGAGAGAAAAGATGAAATGGAATTTGGAAATATGAGTTGAAACTGAAGGAATTAAGGGATGCAATTTATAGTGTATACTCCATTCTTGTTTTGTTAACTACGTACAGAAAAAGAGACTTGTTAAAAGCAACAGTCTCTTTCAAAGTTTTTCTTCTCCCATATTTCAATTTCAACCGAGCTTATTTGTTTCTAAAAAAAAGTGACATGCAAATAACAAGAAACTAACAATATTCTATAAAAACTCTTATATGATATGATGTCTTCACTAAAGTGCAAATAACAAGAAAATAACAGTATATTTATGATATGATATGATGTCTTCACTACAACAAAAATGATTTATGATATGATATGAAGAAATACAATTCAAGCCATAAACACAAGGTAAGAAATAAGCTGTAATACAAAGGAATTACAGCAGCCATTCTACATTACCACAAGAAAACTAACAGCAGGGCTAACAGATCTTCATTGACAATCACATAACCAATTTCAGTTTAACACAACATGTAACTAATTCCATTACCAGCCATAACAGATTTTCTTCTAGGAAGAAAAGGAGCAACACATTACACTACCAATAGTCACAAAGTCATAACTAACGAACTAAGGTAACTGATTTGCAGATGACTAATTTACTTGCCTAACCTATTAAATTGACAGAGCATTTTGTCGCACACCTTGAATTTAACTCTAACAGTTTCATGACACAATTTCTGACATTGAAGTAATTTACCAATGGCTCAATTTTACAAGTTTCACCAAGTTTTATAACAGACCTCAAACTTACAATAACAATGCAACAATCTTTCCCTAATTACGAACTCATTCACACTTTGAAAAACTAACCAAGAAAAATATAACACTACCTCTAACTTCACATTTAACAAAAATTGCAAAAATACTCAGCTCAAACAGTATTCCATTCTAGGACAGTGTACGTAGTATCCGTACCTACAACAAATATGTCCTACATGTAGAGGGAAAAAGCACAATCAAATCTAAACAAATTATGTTAGAGTGTGTGAGTAGTTTAACTATAAATTAATGATATTGTTACTTACCAGGATCAAAGCTTTTATTGCAGTTCTATCAATTTGGAAGCCAATAGCATTAGTCTTTTGAACTGAAAGCAAAACATCCACAAAATCTTCATTATCTTTAACACCAACATCTCCATCAGACCTACGACAAATGTGATCCTCAATTACTTCTATAAGTTCATCCAAATGTTTGGCTACTCTTTCTGCTTTTCTATAAAAACCATTAACTTTTCCCACAGAAAACCAAATCCTGAGTTTTCATTACTTTTCTTGTTGCATCAGAAGATGAAACCACAAGTACTGGAACCTTGCCAAAATAAAGAAGCATCAAAGGCCATATTTTTGAGATAAAGTTTGTAGCGTAAGGTGAGGGAATAAGCCAAGTTGATGGAGATTACCAAGTAGTGGAAATCTTGGAGGTGATGGTGGCGACTTTTTTGTCGTGGAATAATACCGATATTTCATTATGAATAAAAAAGAGAGTAAGAGCGAGAAGATAGTGAAGAATAGTGAGTTTTTTGTCGTGGAATAATCCTGAGTTTTTTGTCTGGTATTATAATAAAAATTATTGGAGGTGAAGATCACAACAAAAGGGAGACCATATAAATTTTATCTGAATTGGAGATCTTGAGGTTGTATTTCAGATGTATTATTATTTTAGTGGTGAATATTCAAAAGTGACGGAACGTACCTGATAAGTTCCCTGAGAAACACTTCCTTGTTACTGTATAAACTGTTAACAATAAGGTCCATGAGCCGACTAACCTGCCAAAGATACACAATATCCAAAACAATGTTCATGATATATATCAAGTGCACTAGAGGTAACAAACCATACACATAAACTGATCTTGGACTCTTGGTTGAGACAACCACCTTCAAACCATACAAAAATATACATATATAAACTGCCATATATAAATTCTCTCTAATTAAGACAAATATGGAAGTTACTTCATGACAGCATCAACATTATTACTCCTTTCTCAAAACATGTTCCAAACAGGGCCAGATTCTTTCCAAAACCAAATCCAAATATGTTCCCAACATGTGTGTTTGAACTTGTTTAATTATAAACAGAAAGTCTTTTATTACCCAGCAACAGTGTTTCAATTGAAATTCCAAATCATAGTTTTTGAAATCATATATAAGGAATTCACATACAGCACAAGCCTCGGGGGGAGACCAAAAGAAGATTTCAGAACACACATACCACACCAGACATAATTTACATGACCAACATTAAGAAGGAGGATCAAAGAAGAAGGAAGGGGGAATTGGAAGGAGGAGGGTATCGAAACTTATCTGCACGTATAGCCGACATCGCGGAGTCGCCGTTTGCGTCGAAACCTTCAGACCCTTTAAAAATCGTCTTCAAACCGCCGAAGGAGTGACAACTGAGTGGTACCATCATTTCAGCTTCACAGCAAGACCGCTGCCGCAGCCTTGTCTTGGCTGGTAACATCATTCCGTTCTTGTTTGAGAATGAAAGTCAAATGGAGAACTAAGATTGAGAGGCAATACCCTAGAGCAAAAATATGAACATGAGAGATTGAAAATTGCATATTATTATTATTTATAAAATTAGAATGAAAAACTTACGTTTGAGAGATATAAGCAATGGATGAGAGAAGGGAGGACGGTTGCCGGAAGGAATGAGGGTGAAAATATTCGCTTGCAGAGAGATGAAAAGTTAGGGTTTAAACTTTAAACAACCCCCAACTTTGAGAAACTATATGGAGCGGATGAAAAATTTCAAGTTTTTGAACAGATCAATTAATTAATAAATTTTGAATTCAAATTAAAACAAAATGGTGTTATTGTTCTGATGTTAGCGAGGTCTCACTACAAAGCCAAGTTCTTGGGTTCAAATCTTGATTTTGCCAATTTTCTTAAATTAATTTTTCAATCATATTTTCAAGTTTGAGTTAGAGCACTTCAAGGACAGGGGTTCGATCCCCACTATACATTTAATATGCGAATAATTAACATTAAGGGACGGTTCTTATATGCTACGCTTATGTAACTGTGGATAGAAGGACGGTTCTTATATGCTACACTTATGAAACTGTGGATAGAAGTGAATACGCAACGGTTATACTATAACCACATTTTCAAACCGTAGCATATAATAAATAAGGGACGGTTTTGAAAAAAAAGCGTCCACACGTAAAAAAGCGTAGCCTATGTTACTTATAGGGACGGTTTTACAGTCGTTGTCTATTCCTCCGTTGCCTAAAGTCATTTTTGTTGTAGTGATCAAATGGAAAGTATATAAAGGAAAATAGATGGAAAAAGAAAATATAAGGGAAAGAAAGAGAAAGAGAAGAGAAAGAAAGAAAGAGGAGAAAAGAGAAGAGAAGAGGGAAAAAGCTTAGAAAGCTCAAGGATCCACTTCAAGCTTCGATTAAACCAAGGTAAGGGTGAGAAACGTTGTTATTTAATCCATGTGTATGATTATGTATATGTGGGTTTGGTTTGTTGTGAATTTCCACCATTTTTCCATTTAGGGCAAAGGGGATTTAATCGGTAGAATTAGAGTTTAATCGGTTAGAAACTGAAATGGTTATCATAGACTAGTCTGGTGTGGTTTAACTAAGGTTTTTGGGACTGGTTTGACAAGAATCGGGTGATTTCGGTGGTTTGGAGGGTTTCGAGCAGATTGGGAAGTTCTGGTTTCGCAGGTTCGCTGGCTCTCGCCAAGCGAGTAAGGGCGAAATTTCGCCAGGCGAAGCCCAGCGAGTGGCTAGCGAGCAATTCCAGTAGCTCTCAGTGGACTTCACTGGCTTGTTCGCCAGGCGAAGGAGGCAGCGAGTGGGTTCGCCGGGAGAATCCCAACGAGTGTATTGGCGAATAATTACAGTAAACTCCCAGTGGACTTCGCCAGCTTGTTTGCCAAGCTATCTGGCAGCGAGCATTCGCCAATGGCTTCGCCAGGCGAATGGTAGAGAACGTGACAGAGTTTTCTTTTCTCTGTGATTCCAATCCGTGTTGTTTTGCTTAGCTTAATGGTTTTTAATCCTTAGCTGAGTGGCTTGTTTTATGTTATGATATGTTGTACTGTGGGTAGCCTTTGGGCGTGAATCCTAGATGATAGGATCAAATATGAATTGCATTCTTTTGGCAAATATTTGTATGAATTATTTTAACATGTTTAAAATGCATGATTATTGTGATGAATTCGTCATCGTTTGGCACGATATTGTGAATGTATATTGATTGGATGCGATTATATGTGAACAATGCATGAGAATATATTGAGAATATATGTGCATTGCGTGGTAAATGTGTTATGCGTGTAAGCATGATGTAATTCTTGTATGATGAAGTACTTGAGAATGCATGAGAACATATTGTGAATATGTGTTCATTGCTTGATAGATGTTATAAATGCATACTGTGTGCATGTGATTAAATGTGAAGAATGCATGGGAATATATCATGGATATGTGTGCATTGTTTAATAATTGTGAGAAATGCATGGGAACATATCTTGGATATGTGTGCATTGTTTGATGATGTGATAATGGTATTGATAAATGAATACATTGATGATTGTTGTGATACGTTGTGTGTGCAATCATGTTATAATTCATATGTGATGAATTATTTGAAATGCATGGGATTAAGATGCGGGAACGGTCTTAAGTGCATTTTGTTGGTTGATTGCATATGCATCATTTAGTCAAGAGGCAATGTTTGCTAGTTTCGTGGAGACTAGTGGCTTGTCCCAAACCTAGAAGGGTGGGTTTGAAGCCTAGGGGACGGGCTTTGTTGTTATCGGTCTAGAAGGGTGGAGCCGATTTAAATGTAAAAACCGAAAAACGATAACAAGTGTTGGCACCACATGGCATGAGTTGCATTGAGTCACATGGCACATTTGTGATTGTTGTATGAAGCATGCGTGTGTGCATGACTTGT